CAAGTTCAGAAAGACAAGGTCATTTTTTTCATATGCAGAATATAGACCTAAAAGAAATATACAGAATGTATGTGGGGAAAAAGAGAGAGGGAGAGAGACAGAGGGACAGAGAAAGAGACACAGAGAGAAAAAAAACATGATTTAAATCATGGGACTGTTTGGAGGGAGAGAAAGAAAGGGAAGAAGGATAAATAATGATGGAAGTTAAATAATATTGCATTTATATAAAGAAAATTCTTCTTTTCTTTGTGCTGATCCTAGAGTTTGAGCTCAAGGCCTAGGCTCTGTCCCTGAGGGATTTTTTTTTTTTTGCTCATGGCTAACATTCTACCATTTGAACCACAGCTCCACTTGCAGCATTTTAGTAATTAAAAAGTTTCACAGGACTTTTCTGTCCAGGCTCGTTTCATACAATGAATGATCCTCCAGTCTCAGTCTCCTGAGTAGCTAGGAGAGCTTTTCGCACCTGGCTTATTTTCCTTTATAAATACTTTTCATTAGAAGTTAACAATAATAGATCTAGTGGTAAAGAAAAACAGAAGAATGAAGGAGAATACATATGTTTGTTATCAAACTTACATACAAAGCTCCTATTGAATTCCTTGTTCTTATCATAGGTTGAGATGGAAGGGCCATCTGTTATTTCTGTTTTTGTAAAGTCTGGAGCTCTTGACTAGCATCTGAAATGATGCTTTTATGTATATTTGTGGAGGACTGCTCTTGGTTTATTTTGCTATAATTATCTTGTTTTAGTATTTCATGATGTCTCACATCTGCCTGTTTGTTTTAGTCATTCTGCCTGTGTGATCACATCACCTTCCTATGTCCAATTTCTCTTCTCTGAGTCTGGCTCTGGTAACCCAAATTACCACTTGGTAGTTTGCTTATGTGCTAGACATTAATCCTTTATTTCCATCTCCAGTCTTCCTCTTGTTCTCGCCTTTGGTTTCTTTCTGGTATTGATTTTTTAGTTCTATAATAGAAGTTGTTACTTATTCAAAACTTAACTTGCTTATGTTCTTTGTGGATACTATACGAGGTATTTCACATACATAACTTTCAGGAAATTAGTTTTTGCTCCATTTTTCTATTGAGAAACCAAGACTCAAAGAGTTGAGGATGATCTCAAGTTCACAAAATTAGAAAGGAGCCCAGCAGGCATCCATAGTTGCAATCAACACTGAGCTTTTGTCCTTCTTTCCTTCCCTAATTTTTATTTCCTCTCCTTCTGGAACTTCACACTGTGTTATTTCACTGGAAAGAAGGCTTGGCTTTTCTTTTACTTATTCAGAGGCATGAAAATTTCCCATGTACTGTTTTTCTTCCCCTTTCCAACCCACTCTGGTCAGCCCTGGGTCATAACCTATGGATTTCTGAGGAATTTACATAGTCTCTAAGCACAAAGAAGTAACAGGCTATCCTAATTGCAGCTAGAGGTTACAGGAATTTTCCAAGATGGTTTGCCATGTCAAATATGTCATTCTGTTATTCTCTTAAGCACACTTACACTATGTGTTCTAGCTTTGAGTTTAGAAATGCATTTCTTCCAGCTTAAGCTGTTACTTAGCCCAGACAGAAAAGGTTTGTATAACTATACTAACACTAATAAATCAGCAGCTGTAGGAAAACACATTCTTCAGCTTCAAAGGTAAACAGCTAAATTTTCTAGATCCTGAGTGACTACTGGAACACATCATTTTGCACAAAATAAAATATTGGCACTTGGGAAGGATAACACAAAGACCCTGACCCTAACTCTCTGGATTTTACTGCTTATGAAATCCTGTCTGGCACTCACCAAAGTCTGTCATTCCCTACATCTCTCCATTTTATGATTTGTCCTGAACTCAACTATACTGCTTATTGTGTTTGTTCCATATGTATATATTTATTGAATACTGACTATGTACCATGTCCTATGCTAGTTAGGAATTCATATACAAAGCAAATTCCATGTCAGCTCTCAAGGAGTGATATATGTGTGTGTGTTTATTATATATGTATATATGCATATATAATAGATACACACACATACACAAAGGTAGTCCCACAATAAAGTAATTAATGTCAGGTAAGAGCTCACAATTGAGAAATTCTAGGAGAGGAAACTAGCCACCAAATGACCCTTCTGTGTAGCACAACAGCAGATGAGCTTGAGTCCATCCATACCACATAAACACTACCACTTAGTTCCTATAGGAATGAAAAGCACTGCAGACAATTAAACCTAACCTTCTGACTCCTAGTGTTGTTCCCTCACCTTATCTGCATGAACTTTCTCCCACAGTCACTCATTCTTTAAAGACTGCTTTAGAAGTTCGTTTATCAAAGAGATAGTCTGATCAAAGTCAGGCGCCAGTGGCTCATGCCTATAATCCTAGCTAGTCAGGAGGCTGAGATCTGAGGATCGAGGTTCAAAGCCAGCCCAGGCAAGGAAAGTCCGTGAGACTCTTATCTCCAATAAACCACTCGAAAACCGGAAGTGGCGCTGTGGCTAAAGCGGTAGAGCACTAGCCTTGATCTGAAGAGCTGAGGGATAGCGCCCAGGCCCAGAGTTCAAGTCCGACAAAAAAAAAAAAAAGAGAGAGATAGTCTGATCATACCTCTAAATACGGACTCCTTTTGTTTGTGCCTTCTTGATAAAATAATAGCATGTTAAGCATGTTATTTATGACTTTCTATCCACGATCACAATCACCTTAAAAAAAATGACAGGTAGCTATTGGCTTTCTTGGTTTGAAATGAGAAAAGAGGTTTGATAACTTACCAAAAGTCAGCGTGTTTCTTAGGTCTGCCCAGATAGTGAACACAGTCCTAATTTGTGTGATCTAAGGAAATAGTACAGGAGAATAACTTCAAAGCTATTGTTTAAGTGGTGAATAAATGAATACCAAACCTGAGCCAAGCTCAGTTGATTTTGCAAGGTAGGAAAACATATAATTATGCCCACTTTGCAAGTGAAGAAATTCACTTTGCAGATGAAATCATCTGCAAATCTCAAGAATAGTAAGAACTGATGTAAATGCCAAGATTTCAACTCTACGGCTTGTGCATGGTCACCACCTCCTCACCCTGGGAAGCAGCAGCATCGTCAATGCCTCTTTCTGTTTTAATACCCTTTCACAAATCCAGATACAGAATGGTTATGTCCATGTTAAAAATTATGCTGAGTTTCCATGATTTTATTATTTTTGGTCTCCCATCCCAAGAACATTAAATTTTATATTCATTAACCACAAATAATCAGTAGTCATGCATTGTTCTCAATTCTAGGCTTTGAGAAAGCAGCTCTAGCTGAAAAGAATTTCCCTGTTACTGACCAACTGATACCAGATCAAAATATTTTGTGGGCTTATCTCAGTTCTAACAGCAAGTCACTCCTTTTTATAAAAATATCTTTTATTTTATTTTTATTGTTATTGTAAAGGTGATACACAGAGGAGTTACAGTTAATTAAGTCAGGTAATGAGTGTATTTCTTTTTGATCAGTGTCTCCTCTTCCCTTGTTTTCTCCCAGTTTTTCCCTTCCAATTCCCCTCCCCCACAAGGTATATAATTCATTTTCAGCATAGTGTCTAATGAGTATCACTGCTACATTTATTCGCCCATTGTCCTACCATTTCTGTACCCCCCTCTTACCCTCCCAAAGACAGATAAATGAACAAACAGGACAAAAGTAATAGAAAACAAAAACAGCAACGAAGGAAAAAATCCCTCTTGTTACTATCCTGGAGTTCAATTCAATAAACATCATTTTATATGACATATGCACAAAGCTATTGAGCTTTTGTGATTCTTTCCTAAAAATATCCTTCTTTGGTCTCACTGTGTGAATGTCTACAGTCCTGTATAACTTATCATGTCCAAGATACTTTGTGTCTTTCAACATTTTGACTGACTTTTCTAGCTTTTAATGGAGTTTCACTTGTTACTCTGCGATCCAGTGGCTCAAGGATTTCTATCTTTATTTACCAAATGTATCTAAAAGAATTTTCTATGTTAGTCTTGAGTTTCAAAGCAATTTTACTGGGTAAATTAAATTTCCTATATGAACTTAAGTATTTCTATTATTCAGAAATAAATATATACCAGAAATTCTCTGAGAATTAACAACTTATTTGTCAGATTCTGTTCTGGCTTTTAGTTTTTTTAAAATTAGAAATAAATGTAGGCTGTGTGGTGAAGGACAGGGTTTGGAATCTATTGTTGTGTTGGAAATGAGGCTCGGACGTAAGGTGCAGAAGAGCAAGACAAAGCTGTTCCCACCATGAGAGCTGCAGACCACAGACAGACTGAAACTCTTCTCCTGAATATCATGGCATAAGGGTCCAGCTGAGCACAGGCATTTCATCATGGGGTGAAATACGCTCATTTATAGGCAAAAGTCACTTGTTCCTTCTTTCTACAAAAGATTACATATGTCTGTTTCCGCTGGAAGGTTTCTTTCTTTATACTCACACAATTCTCCAATGGCACCTAGCTGTGTCTCCTTTAAATTATGAAAAAATTATGAAACTACCTACAAAAACATTAGATCTCACCGGGTAATGGCTTAGTCTTACTGGACTTCCCCAACTGCCAGCAGTAGGTTCTCATCCACATTGGATTGATTTGCTGTGAATTGGATTTCCAACTATGCCTCCCTTGGTTTGCTTAATTTGGCAGAATGGCTCAAAAAACGCAGGGCAGCTCATTTACTGATTTGCGATAAAGGCTTTGACATAGAATGAAGTTGATCAGCTAAATAGTAGAGTCACATATTAGCAAATATGAGCCTCTGTATCTTTTGAAAGTGGACCACTAAACCATCACCCCCAAATGTTTAGCCTAAGTTCACATCTTAAACATAATTAATTTAAATGTAAATGAATCAAACCCATTGATTAAAGAGTGGCTGAATGGATTGAGTATATGATTCAGTGATTTATAAGATACATAATGATGAAGAGTCAACTCAGTAGGAAGGCACAACAACTATATATGTGTGTATACTTACATACATATATAAATATATATATATATATATCCAAAATGCATAGACACTTGATAAGTTTGTGTTGAAAAACTACAATACACTAATAAAGACAATACACTAATAAAAACTTTAATACACCACTTATAATAATAAATAGATTATCCAGACAGAAATTCAAAAAGAAAATAACAAAACTAAAAAAATACTATAGACAATGATCTAACAGACATACTATAAAATTTTTATCCAAAAGTATATAAAACATTCTCCAAGAATAGCTCACTTTCTAGGTCTCTCTCTCTCTCTCTCTCTCTCTCTGTCATATACATACATAATATGATTGAACACAATCATATACACACAATAAGACAAATCATTCCAAGTATATTTCATAAAAATAATACAGTATAATTAGAAATACACAACAGAAGGAAATTGGAAAATTTCACAAACATATAGAAATTAAATAATGAACTTTTTATGATCATTGGGCCCAAGAAGAAACCAAAATAAAAAATTTAAAAAGTATCTCATGTAGAAACCTTGAAAATATTTTTAAAAACCTATTGGCATTAACAAAAACTTTGATCAAAGATGTAGGGTACAAAAATCAACATATAAGAGTAACTTATAATAGTTAATGATCACAAAAGGAATTTGAGGAAGCAGTGCCATTTATGATAGCAAAAAATTAAGAATAAAATGAGGAGGCAAAGGATTTATACACTGAAAAGTACAAAATATCCGTAAAAGGAAAGACACTCAGGGTTATAGATTGGAATTTTAGCATGTTAAAATGTTTATACTACTCAAAATAATCTACAATGAAGTCCTCAATGACACTTAAAAAATAAGAAAGAATTCTTAAAATTTATATGGAACCACAAAAGACTCCAAATAGCTAAAAAAAATTTGAACAAGAAGAGCTAAGCTGATGGTATCAAATTTTTGTTTTTTAAAAATATATTACAAAGCTATAATACAAACAACTAAAAGGTCCTGGCTTATAAATAACATAGATCAATAAAATAAAATAAAGATCTCAGAAATAAACTCAGACAAGCAAGGAAAACTGATTCTCACCAAGGTTGCTAATGGTATAGACTGAAAAAAAATACAGTTACTTCAAAAATTATCAGAAAAACTAGATGCAAAGGAATGATATCTGATGCTTATGCCATGTACAAGTCAACTAAAAATGAATTAAGGACTTACACATAAACCTCCAAGCTGTAAAACTTCTAAAGAAACAGCGGAAAATCTTCTTGACATTGGCCTTGACAAGGATTTCTTGGATATGATACCACAGCTGTGGGCAGCCAATGTGTAAATAGCCAAATGGTTCTAAGTCAAATGGAAATGCTCCTTCCCAGCAACTGAAAAGCCAACAAAATGTGGACAAGTTGTTTGCAAATGTCCACTACCAAGAATATAAATGGGGCTTGTACAACTCCATAAACCTGATTTTTACGTGGCAAAAGAAATAGGTAGTTTGACAAGAAATGTACTCACTACAATACATATGCATCTGTAACACCTCTGTACATTACCTTCACAATAAAGTCCAATTTAAAAATAATAGGTAGTTCTCCAAAAAAAGATACATAAATGACCTGCACTGTATAAAATTTACTAAATACCACTACTCATTAAGGAGATACAAACCAATACTATACTGAGGTATTATCTCACACCTTTTAGATTGACAATAGTCAATAGTAACATACTTTGAATCACAGAGATCACAAATAGTGCAAATCCTTAGAAAGCAAAAAATATTTGGCAAAATAAAACACCAGGAAGCAGGTACTTCAATGGTAGAGTCAAGGGGAAAATCATAGATAAATGAAGAGGAGGAGTGGGGGGAAATGCAGACAGGAATCCAATATATATCCTGCAAAATTAATGAGTGAGAGGTCGGGTGCGGGTGGCTCTTGCCTGTAATCCTAGCTACTCAGGAGGCTGAGATCTGAAGATTGTGGTTCAAAGGCAGCCTGGGCAGGAAAGTCTGTG